TCTGTAATGGAATACATTTTAAAAGTAACCTTCCCAACACTGCCCATAAAGCATATGGATGCTACAGGTTCTTATAGTGTACACATTAGCTATATGACCAGAATGCCAACATGGTGCAATGAATGCGCAATTCCATTATGCTATGCTAGCTAAGACAACATTTAGTCAACAGCACATCACACCTATATATGAGAGTTATGAGTGTATTGGTCATTTCACAGGTCAAAAAAATCTCAAAGTTAATGTTAAATTATTAATTAGTACTGGTCAAAATCAGTTTTTGGTTTAAATATAATGATGCAGAATAATAATTTATGATTCTGAAGGTTTCTTCTAGAGTTGTAACACAAAAGATGCTAATGCTAAAGTTTTCCTAGCTAATCATATCCTGTAAATGTTGCTAATTCTCTAACATTAATGGCAGAGTCATTATATTGGCCAAGTTGGCTGGGGAATCAAGGTGTCCACTGGGTTAGTGGAAAAGAGGAAAGAAACAATAAGGTTATATAACAGACTATGTAAACCATTTGTGACACAGACTACAGCTACATGTGTATACCTGTTAGCAGGCTAACTATCAGTCCCACCACCACCACAGTGGCTGAGTTATGAGCGCTGTACCACATGTAGGACAATGAGTAGAGTGCCTTCACACCAGCTGACCTGAGAGAGGGAATAAAGACACACACACAAAAAACAACAGTTTAAATGACCTCCCTCTTGCTGGCCCTACTGTCCATGCTGACTGATATTTATAACATCAAACTTTGGTAATCTGTACAATCAACCAGCACTCAACACTACTAAACCATATTTAAAGTGGTTTATCTTGAGATGAAATGTGTTACCCTGACTTGACTGTGGTGGTCATGACAGTGGTAGTTATGTTATCAAACAGTGGCAGAGCAGTGGCGTTGAGTGCAGGTGCTGGCGTGGGAACAGACATGCGCATCACAAAGCTCCCGATGCCGATCCAGAAAGCCATGACAAGGCCCGATACCAACCCAACCACTGCACCCTGACAGGAGGACAGAAGCAGTGTCAATTTATGTGTGACCACAAAAATAACAACAAAAGCCGCTTCAAACACTGAATTATTAGTAGTCTTTTCAAGCAACCAAAAGAAGTCCAGATACTTTTCTTTCCAAGCTCCTTAGACTACGATGACCTGGATGGCTGAGAACCTTCGCAGACACTGAATTATTAGTAGCCCCAAGTTAAAACAGGACTCACAATGGGGTTTGCCCAGGGGAAGAACATTCCCAAACAGAAGAGTCCCAGCAGGGGTCCGCCAACCATGCCAAAGATACTGAAAGCTGCCTGAGGACACATGAGAAGAACTAATTAAAAAAAACAAATAACAAACTGTAGGTCAAATCACAATAAAGAATACTAAATACCTACAGTGTCTCTGTGTTGCTGCTGTTAATATTCTGCAGAAAGTTAACAACTATCTTGTATGAATATAGTCTTTTTTTTTTTTTTTTAAACCAGTGCCATGATTACCACCATTCACTTTCCAAAACTTTTCAATTCACTTAAATGTAATAAAGCATTTTCAAACTTTTTGATGAACAGTTACCTGCAGCATAGATCCCATTATAGAAGCAATGTATGCCATAGCCAGACACACCAGACCATAACCCAGGGCTGTGGAGCAGATGAAAAAAAGCACAGTGGTTACACCTCCAACTTCAAGTATTTAGAACCACATAAAAAGCAAAGCATGGACTGTATGGCATCT